ATTTAAAAAAAGTAGATCATAACCATATTTATGATAATTTTCCAGGCAAATTTGTTTGGAAAAGCCTACAGTTTAAGAGATAATGATATAGTGTAATTTATTTTACTACTGTTACAATGATCATATCAAATGTAAAATTAAATTTATCAATTATTACAGTATCTATTAAGAATCAACTTAAGTTGCTTTTAACTTTCATATCAACTTAGACTATTTTTGGAATTCTATTTCAACATAAGTAGATTCTAAATCCACAATAGTTCCGTACTAACATACAACATATATATATATATATATATACTACTCGCTGGATATATCCATATAGCAATTTATAGAATGCTACATCACATTGTAATCTCTTTCTGTTTTCACTCTTCGTCTTCACATAGCCATATCAACATCAAAAGATACACATTCAAAAAGTGGCAACAAGACAACAGCATTAAAAGAGATAAAGTGTTATAGTTCCAACTTTTGTCTTGTAGAAAAAAAAATGCAAAAAAAATTAAACCAAAAAAAACAAAAGACAATAAAACTCAATAATACTCACTTTACGATACTCATCTTAGGTTATTAATGTAGCAAAAGAAAGAAGACAAAAATCTAAAATGCTCGAAGACATAGGATAATTGAAGATGTGCTTTTCAATTGCGTGTAGTATAACTCAGAAACTTGCTCTATAATGAAGTCACTCTTCCAATGCCTAATACTGTAATGTGCACTAAAAAAAAAAAAAAAAAGATTTATTTATTAATTCTATTTTCTAATTTGGAAAAACAACGATGTAACAAATTCATCAAACATTACCTAGTAGATAAATTTTTCAGGGAAGTTATGAATCATCGTATTCTAATATATGATATCGTTTATCATAAACACCAATAGCACAGTAATAAGAAATTAGATTATAAATAAACAGAAAAATGAGGGCAAAATTCTTTTAAAGTACAAATTCGACAACAAACTACCGACAAATTCAAAAAAAATAATGACCAACTTAAAGAAAATATCAATAAGCAAAACAAAAAATTTAGGATAAATCAATACCAACATGT